TGTGTCATCGAGGTCCTCCAACTTTCACTCCCTCAGAATTACAACCTTTAGTCTGTCCTCCAGAAAGCTCAGAGAGCATGTTGAGAGAGGAGTACCACCACTCCGTGCTGCAAAAGCATGAGTATCATGAGCAAGTGTAGGAATTGAGGAAGAGTTTTGTCTCGAAGCATCAGAAAATATTTTTCTAATCCTGTTACTGTAATGCTGACATCACAAGGAAATCCCTACAAAAACGTATAAAACTGCAGCTCAGTGTAGATGCTTATATAATTCCTCATGATTAAAAGTCTAATAGTAGAATTAAGTTGCATCTGAGTAAAACACAAACTACTCATTGTATTGCTGCCTCCAGAGATTTAGAAACAGAATTCTTTATTGACCCAGATGTATCATTTTTATAGTCATTAGACTAATTCACCAAATACAAAGCAATGATCAGCAAAACAGGAACTACACAGCTGTAATTAGTACCTGGGGGGGTATCTTAATTAACTGTAGAAAGTTGCTAACGATGTGGCCTGAGATGAATGATGAGCTAGTGATGGGCTCTGAGATAGTCTGCAATCTTGTGAGAGGATCTTTGTCAGAGGGATGCTGTAATTCTCTTTGTTACCCAGTCAGCCATGGGCTCCAGGAAGTCGTTCAGTCCCACTCTGTGCTGAGGATGGATAATCTGCACTGTGGAAATGCCACTGTCTCCTTTTTTGTGCATCTTGGTATTGTGAATTAAAGAAGATAAAGATCCCAACATTCAAATTAAACCAAGTGTATCTTTTGGTATGAAAACTTCATCTCTTTGCAGTGTAGTAAGTTGAGTGTGCCATCAGACTTACCTAATTTGATGTGACTGACAACATTTCGTTATGAAATTTCTTGAGTGCTTTTTGTGGCAAGGCCTGAAGTAGTTTGTTCTGTGGGCAAGACTGGGTAGACCTAAGGAGAGTCTAAGAAGACTAACTAGGTAAGTCTAGTTACTAAATTGATCTAGAGACTAGCTTAGGTAAGGTGCTATGCTTGTGGTAGGAGTAGATGAGATGCTGCCAGCTGTTAAATGTTTAATGACTATGTAAATAAACTACATAACCGTGCGTTTTAATAGCAAAAGATGAGTTAAAGAAACTGCATCTACACTGCCAACAGAACTGCAGCTCTTCAGTAGCTGTTGTTCTTGAGCAGGACAAACTGTTTACTGATGGCTTGTGTGGGCAGTTGCAAGGATTGAGAAACCCTTCCTGTTGAGATAAGCTGCACTGTGCTGCCCGTGGCCGTGGGCAGCTGTGCAGCCCTGCTTGCACAATGCCCTGCTTGTGGAGCTGTTGTTTGACTTATCGCTGCCTGGTTGCATCATTTTTGTCTCCTGGGTTTGGGGAGAAGTTGGCTGCCGATGAGAGTTGAATCTGGGCTTTCCCTGTGCCTGTTGCAAGGAGAACAGGGTGTGAGATGGGGACAGCAGGCAGGTGGTGGTGCGCAGGAGAGGGGCATGACCTCTTTGGGGAGGGCAGCTGCCCCCGGATGGGGACAGCAGGCAGGTGCAGGAGAGGGGCATGACCTCTTTGGGGAGGGCAGCTGTCCCCAAACCCACCCAGGCTCCGTTACTCATCTCTTTGGTAAACTGCCTAGTGCTGTAAAGCTTGAATTTTAAGGCTGGACCCCCGAGCCCACCCAGGCTCCGTTACTCATCTGTTTGGTAAACTGCCTAGTGCTGTAAAGCTTGAATTTTAAGGCTGGATTATAAATACCACAGTTCTTGTCCAAGTAGTAAAAGCACGAGTAAAACACAATTTGGCAATTGTTTTGTCTTGACAGTTGCAATGGCATTTGAAACTGATGTGCTATGATTGCACTAGTTAGGGTGTTTATGGGATGCTCTGCTTTATGGTGCAAGTGGTCTAGTGTATGAACAGAAAGATACACGACAGCTTTAGTTTTTGAACTGGCTTTCTGTCTGAAAATCTGCTCCTTTTCTGTTTTGACAGTGGAAAACTCTTTTCTTTACCACTCTCACCATAATAATGAATTGTGTATGCAAATACACTTTGGGTACTTCTGGACAACTTTAGCTGAGTTTTCAGTTACCTGGGACTTGTATTCTAAACACTCATGAAACCCATTTCTTGCAACCCTTCCCTTCTGTGCTGTTCCTTCAGGGAGAGAGAGTCAAGTAAACTTGGAGGATTTTGCTTACAACTCTGTTGTGGAGTACCTGGTGTTTTGAGTTACTGTAGCAAGGCTCTGCACTCAGCTTCCAGCCTTGTTTCAGCTCCTATAACTTCTCCTTTTGGTCTCAGTGAATGTTTATTTTCTTAAAACTCAAATACAGTGGATATGTTGAATTTACTGGCATGGAGGATGCTACAAGGAGAAGCTTAGCAAACTACAAAAATGTGTGGCTGCGTTCCAGACGAGGATACATTAGAGCTGAGCCTCTTTGAGGTGTGCACCCTTGAGGAATCAGCTAATCAAGCCTTTGCTGCTGGTGTCAGACTCCCGGGTGCTGCTGAGGCTGAAGCGTGCCCGTGGTGCCTGCAGCGCAGACAGCCGTGTGTTCCCTGCTGCGCCCCGACATGGAGCTGGCCATTGGCAGGCGCGGTTGCGTGCGGTCCCTTGGCCTCACGGACCTTGTGTTTGTGTTGCAATCCTTGCTGAAAGCCTTGCCTGATCTTTCTGGGGCAAGAGCAGATAGGAGCTATCAATTGTCAGCTTGATTTTCCGCTCTGTCCGTGAGCATAGGTCAAAGACCTGGAATAAAACCTGTGGGACAAAGTTCAAGCCAAGCTGTTGGTCGCAGGGTTCTGCCTGCTGCTTGCTCATGGGCTGACACACGGGGTGTTAATGACTCAGGGTTTAGATTTCTCGTGTCCATGGAAGCCTTGGTTTAGTGGGATACAGTTGCCTGCACTTCCCCCGGAGGGGGGGTGGATGCTGAATCCCAGACTGGAGAGTTTCCCTGTGCCTCATGGAAGAAAGCAGGCTTGCTCTCATGATCATGAACACATCATTACTGGAAGGCTTGTTAGGAAGCTTGGAGGAATTTAGGAGGAGAGTGTTGGAACACTGGTTTTATCTGTTTCCTCTTCTGTCACTGTTAGGAGGAAAGCAGTAATTAATACAGCTGGGTGTGAAATGCAGCATTTTCTGTTGGCTCTGACTTCTTTCTGCTATTCAGTTTCTAGGCTTAGCACAGACAGACGGCAGCAGTCAAGTCTTTCAGTTAGTTCAGAATCCTTCTTAGGAGGAAAAAATTTCAGTTATGATCTTTACTGAACTTAGCTCTCTTACCTTGAAGATCTAACAGCGTAATATAGGGGTAATTAATCTTTTTTTTTTTTTAATTGAGTGCTTAATGTGCTGATATTGGCAAAGAATCTGGGAACATGAACTCTGGGTAGCAACTTCATAAGTTTATAGCTAAAAGAGAAATAGCTTGAAAGTTTGCTCACTTTCTAAATGGTGTCCAAAATACACAGTTCTAGAAAGTTCCTGGGAGGCACTGTTTCAATCCTTAATCTGACTTTATTAGGATGATTTGGGGGTGGGGTGTGTGAGCCTTGCTGGAGCAGCAGTTTAAAGTGAAATGTCCTCTGTCAACTCATGCACTGTGAGCGTGACACCTTCAGCTGAGGTGCTAGATAAGACCAGGAAATAGTATCTTAGAAATTTGATGTTAGAAAAAGCAACTCAATAAAATCTTACTGATGGTTGGTCTTTGTGGGGTTTGTCTGGAAATTTTTTTAACATTGTTTCTTGAATAAATTGTCATGATTGATAGGAGGCAGCAAAGGGGTAAGCATGGCAGAGAATGAAATGGAAGGCTGTTTTTTTAATATCTCCTGGAGGAATGCTTAGGAAAGAACATTTTCTGAGTTCTGGAAGTGGGCAGTTTTTTTACCCAAAGCAATTTATTCTTTTAAACAATAATACTGTATATTTCCACCACAACGTTGGTTACTTAAGAGGTCATTGAGAGGTTTCCACTGCGTCAGGTGGTTTTGAGTCAGAATTTTAACTTGAGGTTGTATTTTGTTTGTGTTTCTTGATGATGAAAAGAGTATAAGGAGCATGAAGAATGTGCTCATGTCCAAAAGCAGCTAATGCACTTGGCAATCCTTGTAAGAGGGTATTTGTCCAGTAAACATAATGTAATAGGATCTAGGAGATTCCCAGATGTAGATGATGTGCTGTAATGGAAATTGTGTTAAGGCTTCACTAATGCTTTGAGAAGTCTTCAGCTGCAGAGCTTTAAAGGTGCTTTTTATGGTCAATGTATGTGATTCACCATCTTATAAAATATCTCAAGACTAAACGAGTTGTCATTTTTTCAGTCTTGCTACGAAGTTCAGTGCTTTGCATTACTCTTTAAGTGAAATGGGGGATGTTGTCTTCTAAAGTAGCAGTTAAATGGCTTTAAAGAAAAATCCAATTATGCCACTTCAGTCACTGCTTAAAATACAGCATCCACTGGCCTGTTGTGGTGTGACAGTAGGAAGATTAATAGGAGAGTATATTGGTCTCAAGAATTTTGAGATCATCCTTTTGTCATGGGAAATCTCTCCAGTCTCCCAGTAAAACCAAATTTGGCTAATTCGATCCAAGTTTTTTCTGTGGTTACTGAAAATTATTTTGAATTTTACTTGCTTCTTGACAGAAAAACGTTCCAAGTATATCAGTTTGTTAAATTTAGTTCTATGAGGATCATGCACTGCTGCTTTTAGATTTCTTTTAAACTGGAGGAGTCATTTAAATTATGCCCTGTTAAAACAAAAGCAGAACACATGCTGAACAGCTTTTGCACTGCTTTTTTTATGTTCAGGAGACCCAGTTACTAGAAATAGGCACTTAAATTAAAAATAGGTCAGTTGTCATGTATAGATAGTTTAAATGAACCACACAGAGCTCATATTGGATAGATAGAAAATTGGTGTGTCTACTAGTATGCAGTGACATGATAACAGTCAGAAGACTTTGTTTCATTCCAGATTTTTCTTTGCTTTGCTTTACAGGAAAATCTTCACTGACGATCCAGTTTGTGGAAGGACAGTTTGTTGATTCATATGATCCAACCATAGAGAACAGTAAGTAAATAACTTCCAAGCTCCTCTTCTGTACCAAGCTAACTTGTATCAGAAGCCATTGGGGTTGTACATATTACTTATGTGGGTATTTACATATTAACATTAACGTCCATTAATTACCACAGAAGTATTATTATTCTTTTGAACCAATGCTACATTGTTGCAGCGTGGAAATCACTGTGTGCATATTTCTCTAGACAGCTGAACTTTTAACATTAAATGAAGAGGTACCTAATGAATCTGGCTAAAATGCACCTCCTTGTATTTTATGTGTGTTGTTGAGCATCTGCTTCCCCTGATGTACTTGTGGCACTTCAAATTCCTTACATCACACTGTATGAAAATGTGCCACCAAATACAAGTATTCCAGAGTCTCACATAAGGTCAGTATATCCAGATGAACAGAAAGCCAGCAATATCCATCAGGATTAAACCACTTAGAAGGTAGGCTATGTGGCTATGATAGCATGATAATCGTTTAAATTCCTCCTTTCCAGCAGCTGGATAACAAGGCTGCAACACAATCAGCTTGCTGCAAATACTGGGTATTTGACTTGTCAAGTGTTTTTTTTTCTCTTAGCAGTTCTTTTAAAAATAATTTTAGTACCTTTGTGAGTAGCTGGCATAGCAGGTGAGTAAAGACACTAATGCTAAAAATGCTGCCAAGAGGAAAAAGTCATTTCAGAGGTTACCTGGCATTCATTACAGTCCAGCCACCTCTTTCTGAGCTAGCAGTGGCCATAAAGTACTTCAACAACTGCAGTGCTGGGCTGAGTAACTTGACCATGTTGGCTTACTTTAGTCATGTGGCAAATAAAAGTGATTTCATGATCATAGCCCTGGGGTTCTTGTATTTTAATGACTTGAGTAGCACACATTTTTAGTGTTTTGAACTTATGCAGTAGGATGTTAAGTCTGTGTGATACTCTGGAAATTTGAATGAAGCAATCAGCAGAACAAGGTTGGTTTTTTTTAATATATATATGTGGTATATAATTACATCAGTAGCTATCAGTATATTTTACTTGGGATTACTTTATTGCTTAGAACTGAAATTCAAATGCTGTTTTTTGAGAAACTAAATTTCCTTCAGCAAGTCAGAGTGGATAATTTGGCCCTTGGTCTGAATGTTAGCTCTTATACAGATATTAATACTAACACTTTCCATCATCCTTTTTTACTTTGTTTGAATTATAAGTCAGGTATGTCTTGAATTAAAGCTGCTAGCAAAATACTGGGGTTTAAGCTTCTGTGTTTATAATCTTAATTCAGTTGGGGCAGGTTATTTTTCACTGTGCCATATAAATGCAAATTATTTAAAGTAATCTTTTAGTTTTATGCAGCTGCATGTGAATGAATAAAGACTGAGAGACACAAAGGCTTTACAAAATACTGAATCTGTGTCTTGTTTTAGGATTTTGACACCTTGGTATAAGATTTGTCTTGTTTCATCCTTTACCTGTTGTCTGTAGCTGCTGTTTGTAACTCTGTAGTTGTGTTGTCACAAGTTCAGCATTTCTGAACCACACCAAAATACCCTGTGGATGAATTTTGCTCATATTTGACTCTCCTAGTCTGCACTGTGTGCTTGATCTGAATTCTAAGCATTGAGCATATCCTGGCCATGAAGACTTGCTGGGAGGGGGCATCTTGAAAAGCCTTAACTTTTCACTTGATTTCTTTCTTGTATGGAAAATAAACATCATTCATTTGGTGTAAGTCTTGTGATCTGTGGCATGGTTGGAGGAATTTGCTTTCTGAAAGGTAGAGAATTGAAGGGTCCTTCTGACATCAGAAAATATTGCTGGGAAGTAAAGGTTGAAAAGATGAAAGTTATGCCCTGGGGCTCAAAACAGTGGGAAATCTGTCCCATCTTTAAGCCCCAGAAGGCCTGGTAGAGATAATGCCTTAAAAATGCTTCTGTGAACAACAGACAAGAGAACACACTCTAATTTAACACTAAAATTTAAAACTTACTGGGTTTTTTTTAAGACAGATGTGAAACTAGTTTTAATAGGTTAAGTAAAAAACAATTATTTTGACTTAGAATTTTTTTTTTGTCATTAGGTTTTTTTTTTTCTAAATAGAAATCTTTGTTCAGCAAAGTCTTTGGATGCTCCCAGCTGTGTTTCTGATTCTGTGTAGGCTCATAAGATGCAAAGTACATGAGCAACTCTTAGACTTCTCCTAGCTTGTGATTTCACATTTGGTGGACAGTGTTGGCAAAAAGAGTTGAAAACTCCAGGTTCATAATTATACTATGGACAGTGTTAGAGAATGTTGCCTTTTTCCAGGCCATTATAAGTTGTAAAATGTTTTCAGTTTCATCTGGTGATTTGGTCTACACATGTAACAAAACTTGGACATGAAGAGCATACGTGGGAAAGGATAGTCCAGCCTAGGTGATTTCTGTTTTGTCTCCAGAAATTGTTGTTGGTAATTTGTTACAGTATTCTACCAGCAGTGAAGAAAGGCTAGAAAGCTGCAGTACTGTTGGTAATGCAATCTTTATAATTTTTGTCCTCAAATAATAAAACTTGCACAAAATATTGACTGCAAAGCTAAATTGTATGTAAGGCAAGCTGTAACCATGCTCTTACAGAACAAATTGTGTAGTTTATAAGCCTTGAGCAATAGGAGTAAGACCTAATATTGTAGAAATACCAGGTTTTACGTGTGAAAATCTCTGCCTTTGGAAGTGATAAATGGAAAATAAGGTGCCTCAGATTTGTCGTATTGTTTGTGAAGGTTAGGACAGCTTCACTGCTACATTTTCCTTTGCTTATATTGCATTTGCACCAGAAAAGTTAATTTATTTCTGTGAAGGGGCATGCTGAATTCTGTTCCTTCTACCAAACTTGTGTGTCAGGAAGAGTAACTTGTAACCTTTTGTGGCAGCAGTGGAGGTGAGAGATAATAGCTTCAGGAAGAGACTTTCCCTGTCTGAATGTCCCAACAGGAGTGACATCTCAATGAGTGGCTATTCTTGAGACAGCCAGGTTGAGAAACGAGTGGAACTGCTACTCGCAGGAATGTTGGAAACGGAAGAAAGATCTTGGAGAGCAGGAATGTGTGCAGGGAGTCTGTGTGGACCTTGGGCTGGATGGGGCTCTGCAGGCAGATCAGCTCACATGAACTAAGACCAGTACCAATTAAAATGCAACAATTTTACAAGAATGAAAACTAGAACATGAATTGGAAACTCAGGTCAGAAGGATCAGGTAATGAAGATGTGCACTTAACTCCACCCACATCATCTTTGCAGGGATGTCTTGTGTTGCAAGTAAGAAGACTTGAGTGCCCAGGTGTCAAATGTGTCCTCCAGAGCCTGCCTGGCTGCTTTTTGATTTTTGCTGCAGTTTTAGAGGGCCTTCTAGCACTGCTTCACAGCTCTGTGATCTTCCTTTCTCCTCTAAATTGCCTCACTAGCCTCCCTAAGGAACGGAACATCTTCCTCCATGCTTCCTGCCTCCATCCCAAGTTTTTTAATACAAATGTGAGTAGAAGCATATTAGAAAGGAGCAGAGGGCTGGAGAACCCCTACTAGTGGAGGGGCTCCTGTAGGTTTAGATGAGTCTGACAGAGAATCTTCAAGGCTAAACTTCTACACATGCCTTGGCAACTGCACTGGAAGGGTGAACTGTTCTTCTCTGGAGCTGCTGGTGAGCAGCCTTCTAAGGGGTGCAAGTGAGACTTCTGAGGAAAACTAAAAATAGCTCTCCTGCATCACACATCTCAGTGTTGTGAAAGATGTCCTGGTAGATTAGTGGCAGGCATTGACTTTGGAATGCAGGCCAGTAGAAGGAGATGCAGGAGGTGGTAACCAAGGAAAGCTTGTGAGGTGATTGTATTTAGCTACCAGCCATGTTGTGGCAGTGATGTTACAGCACTCTTGTACCTTTCTTCAGTATCACTATTGATCTAAAGGCCTGCATTTCTTTGCCTGTTACTGTTTGGGGCTTTTCCCCTAGCATAATGGCTTGTTTCCACAGCAGCTGTCATGGAGTTGCACATGCAAATAATTTCATTCATGCTGGTCTAATTGCAATGTACTTCATCTTCAGGTAGCCGTGATCACTGGAGTTGTGTTGCAAGATGAAAGAATGTCCAAAATCTGTGTTCCAGTTGGTGAGCAGTGTTTTGGAGATGCTCACATTATGATTTAATGTCAGGTCAGGTCTGCTGAAAAGTGTCTTTGGCCTACTAGGAAGAGCCAAATTGTCCAGGGATTATATTGTTTGTCTTGTGCACAAGCACAGCAGAAGTCCTAGGATGATAGGTGATGGAATTGGAAATTAACACTTTGGCTGGATCAAGGGGACCAAGTTTTTCACAAAATTAAATTCTTAACTAGGAATGGTTTTAAAAAGCTTCAGCAAAGAAATGAAAGTCATTGGTTGTGACTTCATTGAAGCAGATCTGTCTTCACACTAAGCTGTGCTTAGTGCTGCAAGGCTCTGCTCTGTACTAACAGCTCTCCTCACCAGGCTATGCTGACTCCTTCACTGTTTCCCTTCTCCTATCTCTGTCACACTGTGCTTTCAGTAATGATGATGATGACATCATTGCTGTGTCTCTTCCAGGCTTTTAGAATAGTCTGAAAAAACTGCTGTCTGTCCTTTTTTAAATATTAACTTCATGATGCCCTTGAAGTTACTTTGCAGATGCTTTGATGCGTATGTGAAGTGTCAGGAGACTGGAGAGGCTGTTACTTGCACACCTGTAAAGGCACTGTGTCTCCAGAGGAGTCTGTTTTCCCTCTGACTCCAAGCAGTGATATTGTATATTGCAACACAGCCTGCTAATATCTGTTCAAACAGTTTGTCCCCATCACAGCATTCATCCAAGGCAAAGAGCCATTGTGGATCCGTGTTTCATAACCTAAAACTTCTAGTTGTTTGCAGCAATAACAGCAGCATCCAGATTTGAGGGCACATGTGCTAAAGCAGCTTTCTTGGGGGATAACCAGGGTAAGGCAGGAGCTTTCTTTGAGGCTCCATTTCAAATGTCATTTGCTGATTTTGTAATGGAAACTATAGGTACACTTTACACTGTTGATTTAGATGCTGTTAGGTTGGCTTTGCTGTTTGAATTGCTCCTTTTTTTCGAGGATTGGATTTATGAGGTGGGTTGAAACCTCCAGTTTCAGCTATTTCAGCCCACTTATTCAAGATAATGCTCACATTGTGGGGACTTGACAGAGGGACAAGCTTGGACTGGGAGGAGGAAAGTTGGCCAATTCCATCTACTTGAGGCGTGGGCAGGGGCTGCCCAGCGGGGTCAGGAACGTTCAGCTGCGCAGCTTTGGGAAGCTTTGGCCAACTCAGCTCACCTAAGTGACCTGTTCACCTGACTCTTGTTTCCCTGCTCATCACTGCAGTGGCAGATGAGGTTTCTGAGGACTGCTACTAGTTAGGAAAACCACCCCAACTAGAGGATAACACAGACTTTACTCAGCGTGTCAGAACTGTGCAGCAGTGGTGTCTGGAGTGTGTCTCGAAGGCCACATGAGATTTCCAGAGCCAGGTTTGTGTGCTCTGGTTGGGACATTATTCCTGCAGGAGCTGTGACACTGTTTGCTTTTGCAGTTGCATAACACAAACACTGGGTAAGATTCCTCGGCTCACAGCGCGTTGGCATTTCATGAATCCGAGGAAGAGCAGCAATTCTCATCACTTTTAGGGACTGAATGTACTTTGTGACTGGGGACTGCACAGGCTGGTAGCTGCAGCAAATGTGAAAGTAACATGGTGAACTTAGCTAATTGTTATCATTTGGGTTTAATATAATCATACGTTCTGTGTGTTTTAGCTCTCAGCGATTTTTCCTTTTTTCAATCCAGATCACTTACTTCGTGGTATTTACATTTAGGAAATTGATTTTGCTAAACTGTTTGGTAACCAAGGAGAAGACCCTATAATAAGTTCAAACTTAGCTTTGATGCCAATTGAATTTAAGTGTCTTTTGTTACCACAGATTACAATTGTCTGGATCTTGTAGAAATGCATGTAAATCACCCTTTTTATTCCTCTTGTTACCTCTTGTACTTAAGAGAGCAAAGAATAAGCTGCTGCATCCAGAGTGAGAATCATCTGAAATCTTAAATTCAGTTTCTGAGTTTTGCTACCTGCAATAGACTTGCATCTGATTAGCCTTTTATTGCTCCTTAAAAACCTGTAACTGGAGTTCTTTTCTTTGTGCCTTGGCTGATGATAGCACAGATGAGTGACTTCTGATCTCTTCTTTGTGTATAATTCTGATCTGTTTATGTATTTCTTGTTCTAGCTTTTACAAAACTGATCACAGTAAATGGCCAAGAATATCATCTTCAGCTGGTTGACACTGCTGGCCAGGTAAGTTACCTTTCTTTGAATCTTTCTTTTAAGTTATGACAACGGGTATTGATATTCCTGTTGAGCTAAGTTGGTAGTGACTGTGTGTTCAGAGGTGAAAGTTAACTTAAAAACTATCCTGACTTGTTGTTTAGTCACTAAAGAACTTTTTCTGTAGCATTTATTTAAAGATTTTTGTTTGTGTTTTGTTACTGGGTTGGGGTTTTTTTCCCTATCTGTTGAATGAGTACCTAAAAATGGGAAGAGGAAACTACTGTAACTCTGACGTCCCAGAAGTTCATCAGTAATGTATAATATTTACAGAGTAAGTGAGCAGTCTTGCTTTAGATGAAAAAGGGTGCTTCAGTAAACCATGGGGAAATTTTTCATAGCTTTTTAGTATTTGTCTGCTCCAGCTACACCACCATGACTTGTATCCATGGAGCAGTCATGGGGAGCAGACAGATTCATGTAGGTGGTACTTACTGAGTTAGCAATAAACTGCTGCAGTTTGTCTGCATTTTAACGTGATGGTTCACGTGTGCGTCCGAGCTGCACGTAATGACGGGGTGAGGAGACAGGGAGCACGTGTCCTGCAGCGTGCTGGGGAGCTCTGGGAACTGCAGCTCTTCATTATTTACAGGTACAAGAGTTCACTGCACGCTGCTGCTTGGCTGAACCCATGCACGAGAGTGCTGAGTCTGTTGAGAGACTCTGTATGAGGGAAAAAACTCATCAGGGACCACTAATTAGACCCCTGTATTTTTATCCTAAATTTCTTTTTTTTTTTTTTTTTTTCTTTGCTTACACGCTCTTGCCTTCCATGATCTCATACTATGCCTTTGGGTTTTTCCAAACTATGAGTAGTGTTAAACAGTGTTAGTGTTGTAAAATACACTGCCAGTACTTAAGGCTTTAAAGCTGCAGGATACCTGCTCATAGCTGTGAGACTGTTCAGAGGAGTTGTAACTTTCTAGGTATGTTTGATTGCTTTCTTGGAAGAGAGCTGTGTGACTGGGGACTAGCCATGCTGTATTTATATGGTGTCAGCCCTTGGTGCTCATCAGCAGCATGTGTAATCTCTCAGAGGTATCTGAGCACAGCACTGGCCACAGGATTGCTGGATGGGGAATGCTGTGCAGAGGAGAGGGTGAGAGAGGGGCAGGCTGAGGAGTGTGAGCAGCAGAACGAGCTCCATAGGTGTCACTCAGTGCCATTGTAAGTGCACTTGCATTACAGCTCTGATTGTGTAGCACAGTGATAAAAGAAAAATTCCTCTTTGAGGAGGAAATTGCCTTCTGGGAAGGCAGTGTGACTCACCACTGACATACCTCTGTTGCTGAGGATTGATTTAATTTTATACAGTATTGTAGAACTTAAATAGCTGCTTTCCCAGCCTGTGGTTATTTTCAGATTTAATTCTTCATGGAATGATTTGAACTTTGATTTCTGGCACACAAGGTTAGAGAGGGGAGATGATGTTGGGTTATGGAAGGTGTGGCTTGGACAGATTTTTTTCTCAAGTCTCTCTTGCTTAATGGCCCATAGGGAGTCCTCATGTGTATACAGCACAGCAAGAATTGTATTGCAGATTTGTTAAATACTTTTGAAAACCTGGCTATGGCCTGAAAAGTTGTAGCAATGTTGTTTTATCACTTGACAGATTTCTTAATTTGACCCATAAGTTTCAGTGAGCATAGCAGCTTTCCTTCCATCTCCTAATGAGCTAAAAATAAGGTCATGAATTAGGAACAGTTGAGGTTATGGCTCTTATTTTTCTTGGTATTCATCCTCTGTCCTGTGCCTCTTTACTTTTCTGGTTATTTACTGTGCTTTGTGCAGTTCAGTCCAACAGGGGTCTTGATACAGGGTCACAGAAGAGGAGTGTAAAGGGAAATCTTACCTAACACCAAATTCCAGCTGGGGCAGTCCTGGGAAATTCTGGGTAAAGTCAAGCCACTACAGAGTTGCACTTTCACCTTTTTTACACAGACTTAGCTCAGATCCCTTCTGTATTGACTTTGGGATTTCACATCCAACTGGAGTGGCACTTTGGCATTTCAGAGAAGATGGGTGAGGGCTGCCCTCTGGGTAGCAATAAAGGCAAATAAGTGCAGCTTTTGCCAAGTGTTATTCTTTCAAACTTTTTTTGGCTGGATCTATGAAGTTGATTTATAAAGAGTTTTTCCTCTTCTGCCAGTGAGGGAAGTTTGATTCCTTTTGGGTGTCTCAGATTTAAGCTATGTGATTGCACTGCTCCATCTGTTCAGCCATGACAATAACAGAGAGGTTATTTGATCTTCAGCTAAAATTAACATCTTCAAAAGCATAAGTTTAACAATTTGAGAACTCATACATTAGGAAGTATGGCTCTTGTCAAAATGGAAATGTTTCCTGGGAATGTCTGTTGGAACAGGTTTTTAAACTTGGATTCATAGTATTTGTGTTGCATTACCTGCAGTATATCAGTCTGTTTTGTTTGCCTGTTTGGTCAGTCCCTTTTCCAGAGGGGTAATAAATTCACTGAGTAAGTTTCTGGTGGTTCTGTCTGGTTTTCTATTTATGTAAACACTTGTCCTGTAATGTAAACTTGCAGTTGTCATAAAGAAACTAATAACTGTATTTTTTGCACTTGATAAGCATAAGTTAGTAAGCCACAATTACTCAATTCCTACCAGATTCCTTAGGTAATTTAGATGTGATCAGTGTCATTTGAAATTACAAACTGCTAGATCCTGTCGTCAGCTGTTGAAATTAAAATTTTGAAATGTATCACCAGCAAGATAAGAGGCATAATTGCTAATTAGTAGTGGGACAGAGTGGATGTTTTGTACTAATACAAACAGATAATTAAGCAGGATAAGAGGATTGGGAAGAGCTTCAGCTCATCCATAGTCTTAGAGGGAATAAACCATAAAAGCTGTAGATCAAATTGTGGAGTATACAGAGGAACTTAGAGCTTTCTCTAGATTTGGTAAAGATGCTGCTTGTGACATAATGATAAAAAAATCTGAAAGTACTACCTATACAAAAGGTCTTAGAGATATGACTGCCTTACCTGATGGTGATCTCATGGCATCAAGGTCTGAACTGTGGCACCCTTAATTTTAACTGCAGTATTCCTTCCACAGGATGAATACTCCATATTTCCTCAGACGTACTCCATAGACATCAATGGCTACATTCTTGTTTATTCAGTCACGTCAATAAAAAGGTAATAAAATCTGTTTGTCTTCTTCTCTTGAAATATTTTCTGGGTTTAGCTCCTGCCTCTGCTGTACTTTGTGTGATTATTTCAATTAATTTTTCACCTTTAGAAGTATAGTAGAAGTGAATATTAATGTTTTGTCAGAAATGTCCCCTTGGACCCAAGTGTCACAGACACTTTGCAGACTCATGTGCAAGGTGCCACGTAAGAAATGAGACAGTGTTAGACTACATTGTTTTGAGGTGTAAGAAGAAGTACAAAGGATCATTACAGAAATGAGTTCATTGCTCTTGCATCAGATAGAAAGGCAGACATAAATATGAAGCTGAAGGGCACTGTACATTTATGTGAAGTACCCAGTTAGTCACTAGATCATTCCTTCAGCCTTGTAGCTTTTTACAGTACTGAGATTCCTTTGACTTCTTGTATTGAGTTGTCCTGATTAACTGTAGAAATCCTCATATAAACAGCAATAGATGGCTTTTGAACTGTAAACACTCTCCTGGCGTGCTGCAGCAAATAATCCTCCCTGAAGGTTGTCCCAGAGTGTCCCTCTTGTTCTTGCTGTTCCCTGTCCAGAGTCCCTCGTACCTGGAGTCACACAAGACACATCAGCCTCTGTGTGGCTTTGTCACCTTCTGTTATTTCCTCCCTTCCTCTGGTCATCTTGCTTTGTTTAAATAATGCTTATCCTTGAGTAGGTGTTGATTTTCTGATGTTGTACATCATCTTTATTAGGTCAGCTGAAATTTTTGTTTGAAGAGAGTGATTAAGACCTTAGACCTTTTCAGTCTTATCAAGTACAAGAGAAATTGATGCTTCCCTTCTACTTCAAGGCAGTTAATCAGCTTTTTACAACTGCTGGAGTGTTTCATATATTTTCCTCTGAATCAAACAAAGCTGATCATTTCAAGCTCTTTGATAGGCTATCATAAAATACAGGTAAAGCAACTTGCCTGTTGACTCTTTTTCCTTCTCAAAGGAAGGATATAGTCTGGTTACAAATTTCTGCTGCTCTCAAGGTCTTTAATGTTGAACAGATTTCGCAGTTCTTCATTCTTGGTTTTCATCTTCAGTTCTGAAGTAGAGAAGGGCAAGCACGTGTTAGGCTTTTATGTGTGTCCAGAGATACTAAACTACCAAACTCTCTCTGGGTTTTTAGTGAGAAGTTCAGTGTTGGTGCTGGGTAACTTGTATGAAATAGGAGTCAGTATTCTGTGCCTAAGCAGCCAATGCTCCACTCCTAAAACAAATACAAAAAAGTTCACTGATAAATGGGTGCTGTGAGGACAGAAGTGCCTTTGACTGAAACCAGTGTACATTACTCAGGGGATTCTGCAACCTGTGCTGTTCTCTGCTTGGCAGCTAAAGGGCATATTCTTTCTCAGCTGCTCCAGTTGTTGCCTCATGATGCCTTGAGCTCACCAGGTGAAGAAATGAACATGTTTTCTGTGGTAGCATTCAATCAGTTAAACCAATTATGGTAAAAATACAAACAGGACAGGCTAGGTTAAGGCTGTAGGTCAAAAGTCTTTTCATCAGTATTTAATCTTGATCAGTTTATTCCAAGTTTTTATTGTTGTTGTTGTTCCTTAAAATTTCAAAGTGTCCGTGATCCTATCTTGTTCAATTCTTGATGTTCTGTATCAAGACAGGGTTTAGGTGATAGGAAAGATCTTCCACAGTACTCTGGTAGCTTAGATGACTTGCCCAGACAATGAGATCACAGTCTTCATCTGTCCTGACTTCTGTCAAAGTGTGTGTATTGATCCAAATATTGATCCAGCTGGGTGAGAGCTTTGACAGCAGACTTATTAGAAATGCTCTTTTTAAAGTTATCAGCTTCCATGCTAACCTCCAGTGGGAAGTTTAAATAGGACTTGAATGAAAGCTAATGCCCTACATTTTTTATATTCCCAGGCTCTCAGCAGCAAGGTTACTGGAAGGCTTTTGCTCTAGTTCAGCTTAATTAAATTCCAATTTTGTATCTTGCTCTAGGTTCCATGATTTTGTGTAACACATTTATCTGACAGCTAGTAATGGTTTTTTTTGTATTTCACACATTGAGCTGTTTGCTGTAACCCATTTGGTTGACAGAACTGGAAGGGACCTCTTACAGTCTCCAAATCTCACAGTTTCACAGCTAGATGTGATGGTGCTATTTTTGGATTGGTCAGTCCTTGCTCCTTTTTGTCCTTGCTCCTTTCAACATTATTAATTTGGAAAGCTTTCTAGAACATTAATTGGTCGAGCCAATTTCATTCCTGGCAGTTCTTAGCAACTTGTTTCTGTGTCAGAATTGTGTTGGAGTTTAAATAGCACTTCTCCTGTGGTTTCCATCTTGGTCTGTTAACAAGGATCAGCTTTTTATTTGTAGTATTTTCACTAAAAAAGGAGTGTTGTGAGCAATGTCAGACAAGCAGATAGGTGCCCAAAGTGGGGCAATGGAGAGCCCAGGTTCACGAGCACCTGGCAGCACTGTACAGGGGAGCCTGAGGCAAGGACTTGCCAGGGTGCTGTGCTGTGGTGTTTTTCTGGCTTAGCTGGAAGCAACACACCTAATAGGGGAAAGGAAACAGTCATTGTACTCTTCTAAGGATTCAGTTAGCCTCTGGCTAGGGTGCTAAGATTTTTTCCTGTTGCTTCAGACTGAGAAACAGTTTTGTGGTCTGTAGCAGATGGGTTTTTTTGGTTGCATTTTTATTCTTTCAGTTTGCAGGGTTATGTAGTTCTGTGTGTACTGATGCCTCTCAACTCTGTCACAGCCAAGCTCCATTTAACTCTTATTTTCTTAATAATTATCATCTTCCAAGATGAGTTCTCAAGACTAGAATTTCACTAATACTCTTTCAGCATAAGCTCCTTATGTCTCTAAAGTCCTTTCATTGATTTCACATTTTTCATTGATTCCATGTTTTCCACAGTGTAATCTGTAGTATCCTACTCGAGTTACCAGTAGCAATTCTTGCCAGAGTAACTCATGCTTCTGTTTACAAAGAACTCATTTTCTTGATAGGATGCACTGAAACTATTAGCTGAGCATGGAGAAGCATTGTGTTCCACATAGCCTCAAATATTACTGCTGGAGTCAGACAAATTGACCTGCTTGACAGAAAATCCATCTTAAATGTGGTAGAGTTTATTGTTCTAGAAGGGAGAGGTTTTGCTGCTTTGAATGGTTTTTAGGCACTAGGTCTTTGATTTCTCTGAGCTGGAAGTGTGTTTGAGTGCTGCTCTGTTTTTAAGAGTTTCAATTCTAATTGAAATGCAGTGCAAGTCAAGACACTGCCTGTAGCTAGCAACCTCAGAAACTGGAAAAGCTTTGGTCCCTTTTCTGTTGTCTAGTTGCGTGTCTCATCCCTGAGCCTATGCCTCTCTTAAATCCAAGTTGTGTACTTCATGTACCAGCATTTTTTCCATAGTGTAACCAGAGGAGTGCAACATCTGCTCTTCAATCAACCCCGTTTATAGCTTGTTCTCAAAAGTACTGAATGTCAAATGCAGTGGATTTTGTTAGTGAGGTTTATGACTTGATATTCTACAGTACTGCTTCTTAACTCCTGTCATCCAAACTTCACCTGCGTGGTAGAGGAACAGACAAAGAGTATTTGAATAATCACTGTTTCAGTGCCATCTTGCTGATCAGTTTATTCACTTTCCATAGAAAGTTAGAATTTTGGCTCCTTTTGGCTTTTGCATAATAAAACTTAGTAATTATGTATGAACTAAATGTTCGTTAAAAACAATGATGGAGCTTGCCTAACTAATTACTTTTTCCTCCAATTTGCTTTAATTTGACATACTCATCCAGGATTGTTAGACTGCAGCAGTTAAATTTCTCACTGCAGATACAAACCAGATGAGAGGTGGGAGGGACTTGGGGTGATTCTGTGCTAGATGCATCAGTCCTGGGTAATGTTATTTATTTCTGCAAGTACCATAACTGGGGAGGCTGTAAGGGTAGGCTCAGGCTGGTCTCTGCTGCTGCTGGGACCAGTCTGCTGTGGTTACACAAACGGGTAAGACTTTTCAGCATCTGTGCAGTTGTGCATACATAGAATAAGTTTTAAACACAACCTACATATGCATTTAATTGCTTGTGTATTGGGTATTGAGGATAAACATCAGAGTGCATGTGTGACTTCATCCCTTTATTTTGCAGTTTTGAAGTGATAAAAGTTATCCATGGCAAGTTATTGGATATGGTGGGAAAAGTCCAGTAAGTAGTGACACTTTCATCTCATTTCATTGCAGGCATGTTGCTAGTGCTTTGTTCAGTATACTGTAACTGTTCTGAAGTTCTGAACTTTCTTTCACAGAATACCCATTATGCTGGTTGGAAATAAAAAAGACCTGCATATGGAACGGTATGTGAACTCCAGAATGTGAGAAATGCAAGGCAGCAGCCTGCATTCCTGTGGCTGCAGCGTGCTGGGTTTGTTCTTGGCTTTCCAGAGCTAAAATCAAATTGTTGGTTAAAATAAGTTCCTGGCAAAGGACTTGTGTCCAGAATGTGAACTGCGAACCATGAACTTCTGTTGTAATGTTGATTTTTGCTGTGAGGTTCCAGGGACAGTCATTTAAAATCACACTGGGTTTTTTTCAAAGTAACAGAAGTGTATTTGTCACAGCAGCAATACCAGATAATGTTACAGACTATGAAAACAAAGCAATACTTTGGAACAACTGCTCTTCTGGCTCACAGAGCAGTTTTACCTGGCCCAGAAGTGCATTTGACAGCAGCCAAAAGCAAATGCTTTGGATCAGACTTCACAAGGCATTCCTATTACAATGCACTTAAGTGCTTTGGTACTCATGAGGTATTTCTTGACAGATCAGATTCCAATTCTTCTGCAAGTTATAAGAAACATATTTTTCTTTCTCTGATCAGGGTGATCAGCTATGAAGAAGGGAAAGCTTTAGCAGAATCCTGGAACGCAGCTTTCTTGGAATCTTCTGCTAAAGAAAATCAGGTAATGGATTTAAGAGTCACTTTATTCAAATAGCAATGTAATGGATGACTCAGAGTTTGACTCAATAAAGGAAGCTAAAATATTTGCATGCACTGTACAGATATTTTGTGTAGATGGAAGCAGAATGGCTGTCTGCACTCAGGTTTATGTACACAAGTTTTTCCCTGCAACTGTCAATGGGAGGAGGAAGTGAAGAACTGAAAGTTCAGCTTCACTGAACATATCAGAACACTTAGTGACAAATTAAACTCACATCCATGGGGTTGGGTGGAACAGGGTCTATTACCTTAAACAGGAATCACTGCTGCCAGAGCAGTGAGTTGGTTTCAGAGGATGAACCTCATGTTTTAAGGTGCTGGGCAGGCTCAGTCTCTCTAATGGGGCAATAATAATTTTGTCTGATGTTTATGGTCAACAATTCTGCAAGTTACTTGAGTAAAGTTGGATTTTTTCCCTGAAAGAAAAACTTGGATTATATTTTGCCACCAGATATGGAACACTTGGAGTTAGTTTATCAGGATTTCTGTTTCTGGCTAAAACTTGGATTAACCTTGTCAGAACTGGCATGATGGAAGCATGAAATTTCTCCATATCTTCTATGTATACTGGAAAGCTTCAAATGCATACCAAAGGAAATTAAACTGATAGTGTAAAGAACAAACCTGTTTAAAATGTCTGTTCTTGTTTTCCACCCCTTTATTTTAAATAACTTCTGGATTAGGCAAAGCTGTTGCCTGTGCTCTTTTTCATTTGGCACATGTTCACAATGTGCAACACCACAGCAATTCATATCCAGCAGAAGAATATCTTACTGATAACTTTTCTGGAGTTTTTATTGTTCTTGAAGCAAGAAGAAAAAAGTCATGTTTATTTATGTAAAGAAGCTACAAGCTTTGTAGGATGCTTGGTATGTCCTGTGTGTTAACTTGCTGTACTGACAAAGTCCCCTGTACTGCCATGTATTTGTGCTCCTTTATTAAGTTAAGCTGCCAGCTGGAGTTTATATCTCAAATGTGGTACCCTTCAGGGAAATCAGAATGGCAATTGTACGTCAGATTTTCAAAATCCTGTACAAATCCTACCAGAAGAATTCAGAAGTCCTGTGCATTCTGGCTGTCAAAGGTCTTCCTTTCTTCAGGACCCTTCAGAATAGTGATCACTGGTCGCTGTAAATTCCATCCCTCTGGGTTTAGCAGCAGGTTGTTAGAGGCAGGTGCCTGAACACAATTCCTGCTTCATGCCTGCTGTATAATACACTTGGTAAATTTGTCCATCTTCAGAAGTCTGGCAGATCAGATGTCACTTCAGAGATGGGTGCCTGCAGCATGTGACCGTCCTGTAGGCTCTCTGGCTTGTTTCCTTTGGAGGCTTGGCATGTGTGGAATAAAGTGTGAAAGAGCCTAACACTGGCACTGCTGCCTCAGTCTTCTCACACATCCCCAGCTCTGAAGAGGTGGAAGATTGAGTTTTGAGAGACAAGTGTGGAGTCTGGAGCTGTGGGGTGCTGGGGGAAGAGGAGACACCAGACATTGTAACATCCCTTCCTGTGAGTTGGACCAGGAGCACTTCTGAACTCGTTTGGGTTTTCTCCTCCAAATCCTAATCTGACAGGATCAAAAGAGCTGATACATAGACTTCTGTCAGAACAGGGCATCTTCTCTTCCTCTGAAGCTGTGTCTGGTTGGGGGGGGGAAAGGGGTTTGTTTTGAATTTGGTAACAAGCTGTGTTGTCATTTTCCTGGTACTGACTGTTCACCTTACGTAAGCCAACATTACTGGAAAAAGAAGTCTGTTGGCACTTTCTGCATTGAGGTTCATCCAAATAATCACCTGTACTGGCTTGGTGCTGCAAATGTAACTTGACTATCCAGATTGATTCCAAAATCCTTCCAAAAGTGCTTCAGCTTCTGTTTGCTTAACGGAAAGCTGGTTTATGCTTAAGGCATGAGCTAAACTGGATCAAGGATTTGGAACTTGAGCAGAGAGTTCAAAGCTTCTTGACTGAGGGTATATCTCTTCATTCTCTCTGAAACCAAGCCCATCTGTATGTGGAGGATTTGGAGCAGAAATGTGACATTTCTGGTATGCTGGTCTGAGATGGGTGGTGTACATTATGTTCTTCATAGTGGTGAGGAGAGGGGGGTCCCTGATAGCAAAGGCTCTTTCCCCCCTTTCCTATCTTCCTCTTCTATTTTTGCCTCCCCAGTCCCCCAAAAAATCCTTTTTGGAGCATCTGTGAAAGTCCAAGGAGCATAACCCAATTATACTGGGCAATTAAAATAGTTCTATAGATTAACTTAAACTATGCCTATTCTGCCAAGAGTTATCAAAAGAACATGTCCCAGAAGTGGCATGACTTGGAGTAGATGGAAAGTGAGAGAGGCAAAGATTAAAGCTGCAGTGATGATAAATGATGGTGGCTGGCAGGAGTTCTCAAGGTCAGATAGACTTGAGTATGTGCCAGCTCCTCCAGAGCTGGGTGACCTGGTAGGGCTTTGGGAGGAGCCTGCATATCACCAGCACATCAGTCATCAAGGGAAATCCCTGGGCTTTGGGAAGGCAGTCCTGCCACTTAATGGAAAAGACCTCTCTGAGATGATTGCTGGGCTGTTTCTGTCATGTTTTCTCAAGCTGCTTAATTATTACCAGATATGTTGAACTGCTTTGGCTAACTTCAGGAATTTCAAGTTCTTTCTTGTGGAATTCCTTATGCAGCGTCACCTGGACGGTGGTAGAGTGCTTCATCTTAATCCCAGTGCAATAAAGTCACTCTTGAAAATACAGCCAGAATCCAAAGTGGTCTTAAACCCAGGTGAAACTAGAAGCCAACTTCTACTGGAAGAATTTAGGAAGTAACAAGCAACTAAAAGCAAAATGCATTAGATAAATTGCAAAAGGAGCAAGGAAGTAGCAAAAAAATTTGCTTCTTACCAAAATGGAGCTCTCTTAAAAAGCAGTTGCTTGGTTGTGCTTCTTTTTTCATGAGCAGCTTCATCTTGGAGCTCAGAAGATGCTCTGCTTTGTAAATGCTTCAGAGTAGTTTGGAATTCGGGGATAGGGATCTGACATGTTTGGACTGGCAAAGGATGGGGGGAAACAACCCTCTTTTACCTGGCTGTTACTCAGATTCCTGTGCCCAGTTCTGTGCTAGGATAAACCAGTAGCATGAGCAGCTGAGGGTTTCCTCTTTGGAATAACAAAACAGTTGCCAAAGGGTGACTCCAGCACTGTGGGCTGGATTTGGGTGGTTGCACCTTCCTGCTGCCTCCTGGCAGCACATTCCCAGCTCCCTGCCCGTGCAGGGAATCTGCCTCCTGAGCTGCCTGTCCTGCTCACACCAAGGGCACATCTGCAGCAGCAGCTGAGCCTCTGGTGTCCCCTGCTCACTGCTGGGCTCTGTGGGCAGCAGGTGTTGCCCAGGCTGGCATCTCTTTGCTTTGCTCGGGGAGAAAGGTAGAGGGAAAAGCCAGATGGCTTCCCGTGGGCTAGGTGTGACCCACATTCCATAATTGCACCATATGGAGGCAGATGCTTATAAAGTCTGGCTGCATCCTTTATTCCTTGTCACAAAACATCTTCCTGTGTTGTGTAAAGGCTCAGTCTAAAACTCCTCAGCACGTTTGAGCTGAATTACAAACTCCAAGGCGTTCGCTGTAGGACAGTAATTAAACCTTCCCAGTGAACACAGGGTTTGTTAATTCATTTCACAGAAAATACGTGAACTCCTACATCTCAGTGCTTCAAACAGCACATCTTTGACAGGCAATGTGCAGCTTTTTGGTTGACAGAGTAAGTTGTGGAGGCTTTTTAATGTGTTCTGTGAAACGTGGGCAAAAAGACTTTGTGTATTAAAATGAAACCATTGAAAATTTCGACTCTAAGGAAACGGTGGTGCAGCATGTTTGTAAATCAGTGTATCACCAGGTTTTGATTAAGGGAAGCTCTTCATTAGTGGAAGCAGTTTGATAGCAACTGCAGTCCTGGCCATGGTTCTCCTAAAGTCTTAATTTGCCAAGGAAATGTGTTGTATCATTACTGAACTAAATTAGCCTCTTCTGTCAGGTTCTGTTGGGATTCCAGCAAACTCCATTATATGGAAGAATACCCTATTTTCCAGCTGGTGAAGTACTTTAAATAGTTCCAGAGATCGTACTGTGCACAAACAGTATAAATGTAGGAAACTTTAAGTCTAATCTTGTTAAGATTGCTGTGGGGCTTCAGTCAATGAGATTAATTTGGAAGTGATCCAGTTAAGAATTACATCTTGTGGAGGTGGAAAAACATCTGTTAAATCAGAATACGTAGCCATAAATCACAGGGTGCTCTTCAGCCTACTGATTAAAACCAACAAAACCCCCTTTCCATCCTCTTTCTAGCATGACTGCTTTTATATAATGAATATATTTTCCTGTGCTGGGAATTCCTGGAGTGGATGGCCAGAGGTTGGATCAAATGTCCAACCATTTCAGGAGACCATTTCCAAGCTGAAGATTCACACACTGAAGCTCTAGTCATGCAGCTCAGGCTATTTAAAATGTAACCCCTTCTCTCTCAGGAGGACTTTATTAAAGGATGTTGCTTAATATTAGTGACAATTCAGCTTGTGCTTTCTGCTAGTGTCACTGTGTCTGATATGGATCTTACTCCTAGGGACAGTGAGGAAATCAGGAGTAGTAAAGTCACCCCTCATACTGGGCTGTGCAAAGTCAGTGTTGAGAGCTGAAAAATCTGCTGCCTTCTGAAATTATTCATTATTTTAAAGATTACTGAGAGCAAACTAATTGGATTATTCTCCAAAGCAGCACAGCATCCAAACCTTCCGTGCAGTCAGCCACTCAGGACAGGCTCACCATGCAAAGTAAGGTGATTACAGTTATTAGCTCTGGTGTGAATCTGGCTCAGTTTGTGCCTGCCCTCCCTGCTGAGGATTGCTGTGGATGGGGGTTTGCACTTCGAAACAAAAATTACTGTGTTTGCCCTCCTCACTTTCGGAATAAGCATTGGATGTGTGTTTAGCTGCTGATGTAGTTGCTAAAACTGCTAATGTTTTTTTAGTTATTCTTTCAGTAAGTGGGCAGCCCCACCTTCCCTCTAAATGTGTGCTCTCTCTTTGCAGACTGCCGTTGATGTTTTTAAGAGGATAATTTTGGAGGCAGAAAAAATCGATGGGGCAGCTTCACAAGGGAAGTCTTCATGCTCAGTAATGTAATTCCACTGCAGAACCTGAAAACACTGGGAATACATTCTACCTGAAGAAGCAAAACTGCCCATTATCTTTAAGGATAAACTATGCTTCTTTTTTTTTTTTTTTTTCCTTTTTTTTTGGTTTGGAGCCTTTCCCTTCAGATTATGTTAAACTCTGACTCCTGTGCAAATGGCTTCACTTCCATTTTTCAAATTTTAAGCAATCATATTTTCAATTTATATATTGTATTTCTTAATATTATGACCAAGAATTTTACTGGCATTAATTTTTCAGTGTAGTTTGTTGGTTAGAATAATCATCAAAATGATGCATATTGTTACACTACTATTAACTAGGCTTGGATATCAGTGTTTCTTTGTGTTAAATGTATACTTGTAAATAAAATAGCTGCAAACCTTAAATGTTCTGTTTATAATTTTTCGTTGATTACTCCATATCAACTTTTATTTTTTTTTTTTTTGTGAAAAATGTTCACCTGCTGACCTTAAGAGGAGGCGTGAGATCCCTGGAGCCAATGGATTGTTTGACTATTGCTCGGGAAGTTGTTTGCGAGTGATCCCAAACGTTTTTGCTACTGGAACTCCAGGCTGGCCAAGCAGCTCTGCTTTGCTTTGTGCAAAGCAGAGGGAAGGAGAGACAAGTGCCAGCTTTATTTGGAAGTCCTGGGTTTCAGTGAGAGCCTGCTCTGTGTTTTTCCTCTGTAACGGCTGAGTAAAGGGTGCGCAGAGCCGCCCCGAGTTCCCGCGCTACGGACTGTTCACGCAGACTTGTGACTGGCAGTGCTGGCAGGATGGAGTGGATTTATCCAGGTCACAAGCGTAGACTTGTTAAGAGAACAAAAATGTCATTTAAAATAAATTGCACGTCCTGAACAAATCGGTGTGGGCTGTTTGTCGTGAATTCCTGTGCTCCTGTTGAGAGGTGAGCGGCCTCCTGCTGCCTGGCCGTGCACAGTCAGGGTTCCTGCACAGCTTTCCCTGACCATCGCCAGGCTTTTCCATGGCTTTTGGACTGGAGGCTTAGCAAGCTGTAATCTCCCAAGTCTGGAAACAAACCACTTACAACTACGTATTTAAAAAATTTGCAGTTGACCTACTTTGTGTTGAAAAGCAGAACAAAACCCAAAACAAGGCTGATTTGGGGAACAGTTAATTAAATTAAGTGTTTCGCCTGCATTTTTGTGTTCATTTGAAAACTTAATTTCTGACAGGAATACATAGGAAGGGAAAGCTGGAGTGTATTTCCAACCAGAATTAACTTTTACCTTACAGTCTGTGCTAAAAGATACAAATGAAGCATTTTGTTCCTTTATTTTCTTTGTGCAGTTGTTCCCTCCTATGATATAAAAAATTGTCTAAATCTCTCAACAGTGTACATTGGGAAGCTTGGTATTTTCTTTGGTCAGCATGAGAGTACCTGGTAAAAGAAAAAAAGCCTTTTTTCTCCACTTAGGTATTTCCCAATGTTTCTGAAAACCCATTTTCCATGAATTCACACACCCTTGTGCCAAGCACAGGTTGAGTAGCTGGATGATTGCTATGCTTGATGGATTGCTGGAGTTCAGCAGAGAGTTTGTTCAGGGAAACGAGTCCATGCTTTGATTTTGGACCCAGACTGAGCTGGGGCTGTTTCTGCCCAAGAACCTGCAGCATTGCAGCGAGGGCTGCTTGGCTGGCAGTGGCATGGCTGAGGATGCAGAGCATGGCCTGAGGAGCAGAGCACAGGGTGGTGAAGGTCTGTGTTCCTTCAGTGCCCCATCCCCAGCACTGATGAGCTGCTGCATGACCCGAGGCTGTGGTGTTGTGTCATGGGCACAGTGTCGTGTTCTGCGTCACAGGGTGGAAATTCTGGAGTAACACAAACCTCAGTGACCACATCTGCTCCATTTTTTTGTCAAACTGGCTGCAGGTGTAATGGCATCAGTCTAACCCCCATAATAGCTGCTGCACTGCTTCTTGAGGCGTGCCAGCTGCTAAGAGTTTTAAAGGAGATGCATGAGGGCATGTGCAATTTAACATCTGGGATAACTGAGGTGCTGCCTTGCAGTGGTGAGGCTTTCCAGAAGGGCTTGCTTAAGGGCAAGTGCAGATTCTCTGAACGATTTGTGGTGGGAGTTTCTGAGACTTGAAAGGGACATTTCACAAGGCCATGTATTGATGGACAAGGGGCAATGGCTTCAAACAGCAAGAGAGTAGGTTTTGAATAATTAATAGGAAGAAATTCTTAAGGGCAGTGATACACTGGAACAGGCTGCCCAGAGTTTGTGGATGCTCCACAAAACCAGGTTGGATGGGGCTCTGAGCAACCTGGTCTAGCAGAAGGTGAACCTGCCCGTGGCAGGAAGGTTGGAACTGGATGGGCTTTTGGGTCCCTTCCAGCCCAAACAATTCATGCACTCAGCACTGAGATCTGTAGTGCTCTTGCATTTTCCATAATAGCTGAAAAATTGAGCTCATCCACATATGTTACTCCCTTCTTCCTCTTTCTGCTTCATCCAGTAAAAAATTGAAATTATTCCACTTGTCCAAGCCTTTGTTAATAAGATCTGAAGACCAGCCATGTGCAATAGTCTTGCAGTTCTGCTGAAATGTGTACTCAAGCTTGATCAGTGAATTCCTCCTCATCCGTGGCTGTACACAGATTTCACTTGGCTTCTCAGGGTGGCACCTTCAGCAGCTGGAGTCTAACAGGCTGGGGCAGCCTTGTGCTTCCTTGTCCTGAGTGGCACAGGTTGGGTTCTTCACCCTGAGAGCCCCGAAGGTGAGGATGGGCAATTGTGGAAGTCCTGTTATGTACAGAAACAAAATACTGCTTTGTAGCAAACTGCTGCTTTCCTGGAGTTGATGAATTTATACAGCCTTGTTAAAGTTCTCTGGTCCAGGCTAGAAAAATAATTATGTAGACTTAATAACCTTAAGTCACCTTAACTACTCTTAAGTCATGTTAAGTTATCACTGACTTGTGTGGATTTATAACGGCCTGGTTTGGAAGTGACTCCTGCCTTGCTTGTGCCCCTGTCCAGCTCCTCCTTTGCTGTGTGAATAATCCTGAGAGCCAGGGCTGGAGCTGCCCATCTCCCAGCCTGCCATGCCTGGAAATGCTCAGGATGAGTAAGGCAGTGGGGCAGGTGAGCTCAGCTGGGGGAGGATGGACTGCAGGTGCTAAATGGAAATTTTAAATTATTCTTCCTGTTTCCATGACTAAACGAAGTTTGTCCCTGCCTGGTTAACTCAATGACAGGGAGTTTGGGGAGTCAGCTCTGGGTCTGTGGGGCCTTCTTTGTTGTGCTTCTTCCCAGCTTCTGTAGAGGGTTGGTGAGTCCATGCTGGAGAAGAAAAAAGCTGGAAAAGTGTTTTCATTGCTGCTGTGTGTCTGCAGTAGCTGTGCTGTCATATCTGGATGAGGTGCAGATGTCCCAGGTGCTGTGTGAGCACGGTGCAGGTGGTGATGATGTGATGTGCCCAGGCTTGCTGGGCTTACCCTGCTAATTAACACAGCTGAGCCTCTCCAGAAGGAGAAATCAACAGCTTCTAATTAGCCCTTATGTAATCAGGACTGCTCATCTTCAGAGCATTTTGCTAATACTGGCTAATCTTCACAACTTCATCTCATAAGGTCAATATTGCTCCCCTTTGACAACTGAGGAGGGGGAGTGAAAACCTTTGCACAGATCCCTTCAGCTATTGTGAGTATGCAGAAATGTGGCTAAACTGGTGTGGGTGATGGGTGTCCTTAGCATCCAACTTTTCCTTGGATATCCTGTTTCCCTATTTTTTGAAATACAGTGAAAAATGAAAGGATTTCTCCCCCTAGGCTTTCTGATGCTTTCCAAAATGAAGTCCAGGTCCCATCTCAGTCAGTTGCTGAGGTGTGTGATGAACCCTGGACAGAATACTACTGAAAACAAGACTGTAATTGGCTAAACCTGACCAGCAGGTCCCCTCTCCAAGGTGAGGAGCTGCTTTTCCTAGTAGGAATCTGGCCAGATCCATCATTTTGTGACAGGATTTGCTGAGTGTGAGGAGGCTTTTTGGAGTCCTTACCCCGCATGAGGTGTTGCTGCCATGGGATGGGTGGTGGATCAGGGTGTGAGATGGCCACCCTTGGTAGAGATATTCCAGAGATTTTTATGTTGTAGTGCATCCATGCTGAAGGCAACGCACTGAACCCAAAACCATTGCCTGGCAGCTGATTCCCATTTCCAGCAGCAGGTGATGTGTTCTGCCAGTGAGGGTGTGGGTTGGATGTTTTGCAGAGATGCTCTGCAGTCCCCCTGGCAGCTCTGGGAGGCAGCACGTGGTGCACTCAGGTACAGGAGTGGGTTATCACCAGCAGAAATTGGTACTTCTGGCAGCTGGTCTGAGGTGGGCCAGCAAGCAGCGTGTATTTCACACAGAAACTCTCCCTTGAGTCCTGAGATGGTTTCTCACTCGGTCTGTTGCTGCTCTGAGGAGTCCCACAGGATGTGCTCATCATTCCCAGCAGCAAGCCAACAGTTTTTCCATGGGAAGGAGCAAGACCCATGGTTGTTTCATATTTAATGAGCTCAAAGTATCTCATGCTGAGGTATGTGAAAAATCTATGAGCTTTTCAAAGCAAGGTGGTGTTTTGAAAGCCCTGAGCTAGGGATTTTCCGTGCCAGGTGTTAACACTGCTTTGCAGATATTACAGGCTCCTCCAGAAGCTGAAGTGTGGCCCTTTCAGAGGATGTGGAGCAACTCCTTGGCTGCGGCTGCTCCATTGGTTATTTGTGTGGGGCTGTGCCAGCTGTAGGAGGTACCTGTGAGCAGAATGCTCATCCTGCTGAGCCTCTGACAGGGAATATTCCATTCATATACATGAGGTCACTCCCAAAGATTCACCTCCAGGAGTCACACCCTGCTCAGCTCCCCTGGCTCTGGCCTGGACAATTTGGAGAGCAAATTGTCTCTCACCACTCCACTCCTCAGCTTTGTGGCAGCAAAGGCCAGCAGAGATAGCACAGCCTGGAGCTGCCCTTGTGGACACCAAACCCAATTCCTTCCTCTAAACCAAACCCACAAAAGAATCTCAGATTTTTGGGTTTTGGCTGTTGAAGCCAAATACTCAAACTTACAGGTTAATTTCCAATGCTTCATCCTTTAAGCAGCCACAGTGGAGGAAAGCTGCCCACAACCCTTTTGCTGTGGGGCTCATGGTCAGATGGACCTGGGCACGAGCAGGAGGCAAGGATCACTTGCCTGAAATGCTGTTTGTGGCCATAGGCTCCTCAGGCTGCTCTTTTCTCTCTTCCATTGGCAGCCTTTCCTTCTTTGGCAAGGAGTTAAATGGCTTTGTCCAGGAATTATGATTTGCCATTCTCCCCTATTCTTTCCCCCATCATTTTGCTTTTCTCTAGAGATGGGGCCTTTCTTATTTCATATCTTTAACATGGTTTCTCCAAGAAATGAGGATAAAATTGCCACAACCTCTTTCCACCTCTCCTGAAATGGCTTTTGAACCTGTTGGACAATCTCTAAGAAATGTGACAGCTGGGCACAAGTCTCAGATTCAACAAGCTCTTGCACATTGAATTAAATGTCACACCTTAAGAGAAACAGGAAAATCCCCTCATGAGACAGAGCCAGAGGAAACCAGGCTTTTGTGGTTCCATAAAAATCCCCTGAGGCAGTGTTTGCTTCCCTGGGTGCTTTGGAGCAGTTTGCCATGGATACCACGGGTTTTGCCCTCCAGGCACCCAACAGCTCATGGCCAATGCAAAGAGTGCTTGAGCTCCGACCCCAGTGGGTGCAGAGCTGGCTCCCAGTGCCAGTCATGGTGCCACCCCATTGTCCTCGTGCTCCCAGCCATGACTCAGAAGAGGGACACTTCTCCTTCCCTCCCAGGGCACTGACTGT